TGGTAAAAATAGAATTAAAAAAAAATGTACAAAGAATTATAATAGGATAAGTTACATAATGTGGCAGCAATGAACCTTCCCTCATAACATTAATTCGTTGATTTCCTTCACCGAATTATCATAACGGAATTCACTTTTTTTAAAGGGAATTGGCTATGATCAGAGATTTCAATAATTATAATATACACATAAAACAAACCATACTAGTTTAGACCAATTTAGACCAGACCAGCAATTTCAGTCCAAAAGAAAACATCCTAAGCATCGTCATCAAGTAAGCTAACCTAATTACCATATAATTTATTTCCTAAAATATATCTAAGAGGGTGGTAGTGAAACAATATGAAGTACAACTTTATCCTCATCATCAACTTTAACATTCCAAGTTCTCCCAATCAACTATTACGGAATTGGATTAGATCATTAAAAGCAAGTTTGAATATGAGTACCTTCTAGCCTATATTATGGGTATATGTTTGGCAAATGGCTTATCAACCAGCTTTTAGCTTGTTTGACCCATTTTAGCTGTTTGATTAGTCAAATAAGCTAATAATAATGTTTGGTAAATGGATTTTAAAATTAGTTTGTTGAGTTTGAAAAGCTGAAAAAATGGATGGTTGAAGAAGCTAAGGGGCAGCTTCTTCATTCGGCTGGTTCAATTTACACTCTATCAGCCATTTCGAAACAACCAATTTTACCAAACAGTTATTTATAATCAGCTAACATAACCAGCCGGTCAAAACAGCTAACACAACCAGCTATTAGGAAACAGCTGACACAACCAGCTAACAGCAACAGCTAACATCCATTTACCAAACAAGTCCTATATTTGGATGCTTCGTATTAGGGTCGGTCCTAGGAGGAGGGCAGCATGGGCGAGTGCCCTAGGCCCGAACAAAAGTAGAAAGAAGATTAGGCCCAAGTTTTTTTTTAATATCTAATGTGAGTAGGCTTCTTTGTTATTAATAATTTCAATTAATTAATTAGGCCCAAGTTTCAGAAAAGAATATAAATTTAGTTTTGATTTTTAAATAGAGTAAATTGTAAGGATGTTTTCTTTTGGACTGAAATTTGTTGGTCTGGTCTGAACTGGTCTAGTCTGGTAAACGTCTGGTCTCTATGTATTTTATAACTACAGAAGTCTGGTATGGTTTGGTCTGGTCTGTGACTGAAAACAATCCAAAAGAAAACATCCTAAGTCAACACATTTGTTGTTGAATCAATAAAAGCATGTCTCTTCACATCAATTTAGCCTTTAAGACTTTTTAATCTTTTAGTTACAAAATTACCAATTTATATTATTGTCTTTGGGATTCCGGCCGGTGCCTCCCAATTCTCAAACATCATCTCAATAATCTATTATGCCTCAAAACCTTAATGGATTAGCAATTTTAAACAGTGCACATGTGATCTTGAAAAAGATTGATTATAAATCAATTATTGATGATTTTACTTCACAATGTTCTTTTGTGATACTTGTGTTGTTACTTTTGTCCAAATATGTAATTCAAATAATATGAAGGTGAATTTCATTTTTATTTATAGCCTTTATTAGATAGTTGTAGGGAGAATTCTTGAAATATGAGTAATTTTTTTTTTTCGAAATTTCAAAATATGACTGTCATGTGTTTATTTTCTGAATATGAGTAATTACTGTCATGTTCTGAAAATACTACCATGTGTAAAACATGATACTTCAAAATATGAGAGTGGTTATTTCTATTTAGAGAAAAAACATGATAATCTTAGTATGGAATATACAAACGTTTTAGTCGTATTTAGAGTAATTTCTTATAGTTTTATTATACTCCGTAATTTTTATTTTAAGTAAATATAATTTACTGTTTATTTTGGAAATAAGGCCAAAATAGTATATCACTCATAGGCCCAAAACTGGACAAGACCAGCCCTGCTTCATATACAACCTTCTTTGGGCCTTTATGGGAGAACAACTTGCATTCGGAGTCATCAAACAGCAAAACTAACTTTACCGTCATACTTCTCCTAATCCAATCATATTGATACGGTGTAGTAAAAACCTCATAGTTCGTTTACCGAAGCTTTTTCTTTTGGCTGGACTTTCTCTCTTTCTTTAGTATCTGTTCGGTTAAAATTCCAACATCAGGGATGAGTTTCGAACCTGTGACATCCTCCTTAAGAGTGTCACAATGTCATCGAACCACAAGGTGGTTGGCCATTTACTGAAGCTTATATCCTAGTTTGTTGCGGATCAGTGCACAAAAGCTTATGTAGTATGTAATTCAAGAATGTAGACCAAATATTTTAAAGAAAATATTAAAGACCGGAGAAACGACGACACCAAAAAGTAATAGAGGGGAAAACTCTTCCGCATGAGAGCCAAAATGTCCATAAGTGTATTGGGAGTACAATGAGTTTTTCATGCGTGTGGTAAATATATCGACAAGTCTTTCGAATGAGGAAGCCTTCCCAAAAGTAATATCACATGTATCAACAATATCTCTCGATAAAGTGATATTTTATCATAGATGTTGTTGATGCATAAGACTATATTTCTAGGAAGGCTTTCTCATCCGAAAATCCTAAAGATATGTTGACCAAGACACCTCCATCAACTAAGTTTGAAGGTTGCTTCGGTCAAATTAAAGCAAAACTTCCATAGTAAAGGAGGGTTTCCTTGAAAAGCAGTGAGGTACTTATTCAGCAAGTTGCTTCTCATTGGTTGTCTTCTTGTTTTTGACTCCTCTCTGTAATGTTAATCCCTCTGGTGTTTTTCGGGGAAAAGAAAACTATGTACCAAACTTGTATTTGAACATTAGGGGGAATTAGCTTGATATACTCTAAGTGTAAGGTAACAGAATGAAACAATATGATATGAGGTACAACCTTATTCACACCATACGTTGATATCTATGATCAATTAGTGCAGAAATAAATTCATAATTGTGAGCTTGAATAGGAATTTAAAGATGTGCTCCTTGAGTCGGAATTTGCTTTTGAGGCTTTGTATACAATAAAGACAGAAAAGGCATCTGAGATCTTTATAATTGAAAACCATTGCATAAATACAGTCAAAAATTTTAATATAACAGCATTGGTAGTATAAAAAAAGTACCTCACATGCTTCCAGTAATATACCCAATAAATACTCCTTACGGGTTAATATTTGTGCTAAAAAGAAAGTAGAGAACAATAATATAAGAGAGGATATAGAGAGAGATGTTTCATTGTGATGGTATATATTTTTCTCACAGCTCCTAACAACGGGTATTTATAGTATCCAAATAGTGCAATTGCCGTATGCAATTACATCACCATGGTAGAAAATGAAGACACATCTAACTAATTGATTACATTCTTGACTTTTAGATTTGAGCTTTAAAAAAGGAAAATATTCGCCAACAACTAGGGGTGCCACTTTTAAAGCACTCGTACAGAATTCAAGATGAAATAAAGAGCCTATTCAGTAACGTTGAGATCAATTAAATTTAATAAAATCGCTTAAATTCTGAATAAAATGGTTAAATTTGTTATATTGAAGGGATCTTTTTTAAATGGCTAAATTGAAGCTCATTTCCAATTTCCAAAAACTGATCACTTTTACTTGAGACAAAAGTGTGACTAATATAAGGCAATATATTTGAAAAAACATGACACTTTTATGTTACTAATGTTGTCACTGCCATAAACTCTTCCTAATAAATGTTTAAAAAATTGAAAAAAATGAACAAAACATCAATTTTTGTAGCGAAGTTTTCCAAGAGTGGCTAGACAAGTGTGTGAGTGAGGGCAAGGTTAGAGGTTGGATATAAATTACAATGACTACAAAATTGGATTAATTAAACAAAAGATTAATCATATTTTTAGAAGAAGAAAACTCACTTTTTTGTATTTCACAAAGCTATAGTTTTCTTATTTAAAATATATTTTATTAATTGTGCTTTTACAAAAATCACATCGTATATAAAAAACTAAAATATTCATCTTCACTAGAATCCATCAATTAAATCTTAAAATTTTTATCATTACAATATTCAACGCACTAAAACAGAGGTTATACCAAATAGAAGGGCAACTATTAAATTTGTTCCTTGATTACTTTAAATTTTTGAAGGTTATTCCTTTGAATATTACTATGACCGTATATAACAATTTAAATCTGCCATTATTTTTTATATTTTTCTTTTAATGTCAGCTAGAGAAGTAAATCTAGAATATTTTATCACATGTTGAATTTTACACTATTCACATGATCTACTTTAAATATGTTTTATTTATTAATGTTTTAATAAATTAATTTTTTTTAAAAAAAATCTTAATTTGTCTCATTATAAATTTTCAAAACCTGTTTTATTAATAAAGAATTATACTTACTCTGTCTCTGAATTAATTTTCAAATTTCCTTTTTCGTCCGTCTTAAAATAATCTTTTTTTTCAAAGAATTTGTGGTTCAAAACATGTTTTTAAAATTCTTACACATTTCTTTCTCTTTAGTACAACTCTCCATCACACAACTCTCTGTTCTAAAAGGCGCTAGGCACTAGTCGGGCGTCAGTCCAACGCCTAGGGCCCTAGGCGGCTAGGCGGACGCCTAGGCGGGGACTAGTCGGAGACATAGAATTTACATTTTTATTTATATTGTTGCATAAATATGATACGTAATATTGTATTTTTGTGTGTATAAAACACATATATACATATACATTAACAAACATGAATGATAGAATTATCACATTTAATCATACGTAGTACTATCATTTACCTTTATACGGAGTATATGATAACTAATCATTTACCTTTATTATGTTATAAATATAAATATGATGAAATTTAAGCTGAAATATGATGAATTTACAATGTACCCAAATCAGATTTTGAAACAGATTTTGAATAGATTTTTATTAATGACAGAGAGGGTATAATTCTCTATTAATAAAAAAACATATTTTGAAAATTTACAATGTTACAAATTAAAAAATGTTTTCAAAAATAATAATTTATTAATACATTAATAAATGAAGCATGATTAAACTAGAGCATGTGAATTGTGTAAAATTCAACACTTTACACTTATTTAAGAAGAGAGGAAGTATGTCCTGATTTTAGGGTCAAAGTATTCTAAATTTACTTCTTTAATAGAGCACAAACTAAAATTAAAAGAAAAAGTATTAAAAATACATTTATAAATTGTTATACACGTTCATAGTAAGCAAATGAACAAATTGAATACTCCTTACTTGCCACGTTAAGTGGTTTACCGTTAGCAAGGGCCAAGGGGGTGATTGCCCTTCTTTCAATGACTTTACAGTTTTTTGCCCAAAAAAAGTGTTCAAGGGCATAGATGCCCTTTGTGGACAACTCCAAAGGGGTTTTTGACCCTTTTCCCAAATATCAAGGTGTGAGTGCGTCAAAAAACATTGCACCTCCCCAAAAAATGAAAAACAAAGACCCCTAACCTATAAGTTCTATTTGCATTTCTTTAACATTCTCACCCAATCTAAAAAAATATTTCCATTGAAAAGATCTTTCTTTTTTGCGAGGACATTGAAAAAATATTTCCATTGAAAAGATCCCTATGTTAAAAATAGTTAAAATACCAGTTTCAAACATAAACTGTGGAGCAAGAGCCCCTCCCCTTTGTACCCCCGCTAACACATGGGAGAATGGCAAAGACACAGGGTTGCCTTTTTCAGGTAATACATTAAAAAATATTTCATCCCATGAGTAAATAACATATTTGTTCAAAACTATGCCGCATTCCCAATTATCTGGTGACATAACTTTACAATTCAAATGTACCGGATCAGCTCAACTGCAAACTTCCCCTTTCTAGTTGAATTTATTTCTCCAATCTGATCACAGATAAAGTATTACATTCAAATTGAGAATAATGCTAACAGAATGCCCTAAGGTCTTGTTAGTTTGGGGTATCTTGGAGGCGAGGACATGAGAGGATTGGTTTTTTTTGCAATCTTATCTTTGTTAGTTTGTTTGTTAGCCTCAGTCTAGAAATAACTACATATTTAGATAAATCATGTATTTTCGATATAATTTCTCATGTGAATTTTCTTTAACACCATCTAACTGTTAAAATTAAGCAATGAGACAAATGTCAACCACCCGCTTCCCTCCCCTCCACAGTCCACCCCCCAACAGAACATGGTCTTTAGTTTAAGAATTTTAAAAAGGAAATATTTTTTCAATGGGAATCAATCATGTGTGAGGATATTTTAAAATCATTGGTGAGTTCTTTTTTCCCTCTTAGCATAAAAACATTTCCTTTAATATTTCTTAAACAAAAAATGCCACAAGGGTTGTGGTTAGCATCACCCCAGAATCAAATATTCCATACTTGATCATGTGGAGTTGGTAACAACTTTCTACCTCTGTTTAATCATGAACTGCTATTTAGAAAGAAAAATGATTGTAAATCCCCCCCCCCCTGTTCGTCTTTATTGAGATATGAAGAGATCGAACAAGTAACTAGCAAGTAGTGTGAACAATAAAAGGTACCTTTAATCTCCCTTTTCCGGCAACAGATATGAAGTCTCCAGTTCTGATAGTGGTGTTGCTTTTCATCACAGTAGTCCAATTGACACGCACATCTCCATTACTAAAACAAAATGTGAGAAGCTTCATGAACATCATCAACAGCATGCATTGAAATTGGGAACATAATAATGTTTGCCTTATGGACATTATACAAGTAATAGATTATAATCCACCTATATTTCTATAACTTCTCATATGTGTTTGCATCTTCTGAGGGCCAAGGCTGTTTTAAGTGGTTTACAATGAAAATGAAAATGGAATGAATTGTACCTTATGAGACTTGCCATTTTGGTACGCGAGAGTTTGAACCCTGCACTTGCTATTGCATCAAGTCTCAATGATGCTTCTACCGCTTTCAGCAACTTGGTCCTGAGAAGAGTAAATAATGCACCAATTAGACCCCCCCTCCCTCGGCACAAGAGGCCAGGAAATTATCAAACATTGAAAGAAAACATAATCAAACTGACTACATGGGTATCAAGGGCCCTGTAGGGTTGTAGTAGAATGATATTCACGTGAGAGTCAATGCAAGAGGAGACGTCTCTAGTCTCTGGATCAACCTCCACCTCCCTAAAATATATACAAAATTGATACTCCCTTCGTTCTAATATAGTCTTTCACTCGGATTACAAGGCTTGGTTGAAGATAAAGTTTAATTTTTTATAATAGATATAATTACCTCGTTCCATAATTTCCAATGGAGCCAAAGACTCACTATTTTTTGGCTTGGGAATATGATGGAATAAAGCAAAACGGTTCACTAAACTGTCTGCGCTTCTTTGTTTGAAACATAAGTCAATCAGTCCATGCAATTTTTTATGCGATTTTCATCACGGATCATCCGGAAATAGTCTCTTTGTGCTTTAGTATAGGGGCAAGGCTGCGTACATCTGACCCCCTTACCCCACCATATGTGGGAGCCTGTGCGGCATGAGGGTAATGTTGTTGTTGTTGGATATAATTATCTCACAAACCTAACAGTGTGAAGAGATAGTTAGGGCAGACCAAAGGGGATTGCCAGTCAGTTAGGTAGCGGAAGACCGAAGAAGGCCAAGGTTTGTCTCGAAACATGCAACGGTAAAAAACTAGGCAGTAGTATCTTCAATAGTTCAATTAGGCTAACATCTTGTAACGCTTAAACTTACGTTACTTACCTCATTTTGGACAACTTTTTCATATTCCTAATATGCTGAGCTTTGAGCTTTCGTCTAAGACTCTTGAATCTTGATTATCATTTCTTCATTTGCTCTTAATTTCTTTCGTATTTACCTTCTTTGATAATTTTTGGTAAGTTATTTAGGGTTTTATGGTCAGCTCACCTTCTATAACCTAACAATAATATTTAAATTAGTGGTTAAAATTTACATATTTAAAAACTAAAACTAAAGCCCTGTTGAATCGCAAAAATTGAATTTGAATCATTGATTCTAACAAATGTTTGTTACATAAGATTCAATATTAAAAAGAGCTGGAGTGACCTATGAATAATGAATAACACAAGTAATTTGGAATGGAGTGATAATGATAGAATATCATATAGCAACCTTGGAGGTTCATATTCAAGTGCAAGCAATGGAATCTTTTTACAGGAGACAGTAACATTTCCAACCTGCAAAGAAGGAAAAAGAAATAGCCTACTTATGCAACAAAATGTTGGATATGAATTTCCTATTTTGCAAAAAGATACTCCCGCTTTTCCATTTAACCTATCCTACTTATCATCTATCTATCAACTCAACTCATAATTGTTTGCTTATTTTGTTTAAATATAGTTTTATAATTTTATATAGTCTTGTGTGTTTAATACTCCCTCCGTCCCACAAAACTTGACCAAGTTTGATTTGCACGTATAATAATAAAGTTAAAAAATGTGTGGTTGAGATTAGTTCAGAGGAAAGAGAAACTACTTTAGCCACATATTCATTACTTTAATTGGAAATGGCATAGTATTTTGGGACGGCTAAAAAAGGAATTTGGCCAAGATTTATGGGATGGAGGGGTATTGAACTACTGTTCATATAGCTTTAAAATTATATAAACTATGTATTAATATTCAATAAATAATAGTAGAGAACAAAGGGGTCACATTTTTCAGTATCCCTACTCTTTCTTTGCGTACTATTAACATGCAAGAACAGATGGCTATAGTCTATAGCATCTAACGTAGCAAGAATAATTTAAGATACGAAGTTAAAACATGCATAAGGTTTACACATGTACTTTTCTCAAATTTTCAAACATCGAAGGGAGTAAATTAAATCTAATCTGACCATGTATAAATATTAATAGTTTAATACTACCTAAGATAGTGTGAATGATCAAACTAGAAGACTAGAAGTGCTATCTAAGATAGTGTTGATGACTGACCTAGAAGGCTAGAGATACTACAAAAGTAATTTGAAATGAATGTGCATATTGCATGAACGTATCATATAAACAAGTGGCAAGAGATAGTATGGATTATCATTTCAGAATTTCAGAAATACTACCTAAGATGGTGCAGATGATTGCCCTAGGAGTACTACCTTGTTCAACGTCGATATGAGGAAGTCAGCTAGTTCTGGAACAATAAGGACCTGGCCTCCTTTTTCTCCCTAAAATTGCATATAAAGGTCTCGAAGTCATTATAGACCAGATTTGTACAAAGATAACTTGACCTAATATGGATTAAACTCATGAGGAAAGTGTCAAATAACACAAATGCTTAAACTTGCAAACATAAATAATAACAGTATGATGCAATGGGAGACTAGTTCACTGTGGGACAGGCTGCAAGTCAGCAAAGGTTCAGAAGCATGAGCTGGCCTGCGTCAATAATCAATACACCTTTATTCGTTTCGACTTCACAGTTCACACTTTTGCCATTTTGGAACCACATATGGTGGAGCTCCTTAAGATGGTCCAGAAAGTCATGAATAGCAATGCCATGACTCGAGTACTCTAGGGGATATGTAATAAGTTTAGGAGAGTTGATTTCGCTGACCAGAGACGCTTGGTGGCGCAGATTGTCACCTGATTTCCTTTTATTTGATGTTTTCATGACTATTTGCAATATAAATATAAATTGGACTTTTATTATGAGTCATAATCATTTTCGTTTCATTAAGATGGCAATGTAGTGTATATCAGGTATTTGAGTTTGATTTGAAATTACTTGTTTCGATTGACAGTTATTATGTGAAGGGTGGATCTCCAAAGCACAACTATACATTGTATTGCAAGTCGAGGCACACAGGTCTTTTTCTGTGAAACTGGAGCAGTCACTTAACTTATCAGGCAAGGGCTTTACGTGACCAAACCCTATCTGGGAAGTTTTTTCTATAACCCTTAGGGTCTGGTTGGAACTCTAAAATTGCTAGCGAAGTTGATGGGAAAAATGTGGGGGAATTGAAAAGTACTTGTCCAAACTCAATTAATTAATTTTAGATATGCAGGTAAGTGAAATATACAAATATGTAAAATTTTAAAAATTTCTAATCAAGTTTGGTTTTCCCTTTTATTTTCCAAGGTAAAAAGTCAAACTTAGGAAAATCAATTTCCTTAGAATTTATGTTTTCTCTTTCCCTACCATTTTCCGAGTTGTAAACGTAGCCTTGCACTTCAGTAATTTAAAAAAAGTGTCATTACTGGAGAATCAGAGTTTGTCAAGGTGAATTATTTTTTCACGACTCCCAAAGCACATGGATTGAGAGTACCTGCAAGACAATATCTCCCAACTTATTTCTGGAAATTCCTGTGCCAAGGATTGCTCCAAGGAAATCACCATGAGAACAAGGCTCAAAGGAGAAGTTCCCTGAAATACTAGGAAGCGAGACCATTTCTCAATAACATCAAAAGCACCAATGAATTCAACTTGAGAATTGAGATACAACTATGCAACTAAATGATAGATGGGTGAGTAGGTTGGGTCTAATCTACCTTATGGCTGAAACAATATCTGGATCAGTTGCCAAGACCTCGGGATGTCCAACTGAGAGTCTGCAACGTTCAGCCTAGGATAGTTAAGGTTACTAATAGTTCTGTTCCAAAATCATTCTTTTTTGCAGGCAAGATATAATAGTAATCTAACCTCTGGGTACCCTCCCTGAGCAATAGCTTTGACATTTATCAACTTTCCTACCACTAGCATTGATTCTTTTAGTACAAGTGGTGTGAGAAAATCTGTATGTAGAACTTCTCTCCTTAAAGATGCTCGCTCTGCCTGTTTCAAACACAAAATAGAACATTAAGAATGTCTACAGAATAGGAACTAGAAGACCCTTCAACAACACTATTTCTTAATGATTTCGGAAAACTGTGATGTTTTATTTTTCAGAAGGAAAGAAGTAGAAAATGTTAAATAAAAAAATTCTACAAATAAAGGATAATAAATGTGTGTGAAACCTGCAAAGTAAAAATATACCATTTCAATAATGTGTTTAACATTCTCAATTGTATCCTTGTCTCCTCCTTTTGTAAGACCTTCCACATCACCCTTTATAGCATGTGTTGCACTGCATATTCCAAATGCTGCTTAAACAACCATGCAGCTAATCAGCTATCCAGGAATTACCTTTTTCACAATAGATATAAATCTAATGGCTTGTTGGGAGTATACATATAATGATAATGCTAGAGTTCCCATAGAAATCAACCAACTAATAGTAGTTACTACATGAGGTGCCAATACATAAATCATAATAGGGTCAGGCAAATCATAAAGTGGGAGTAAAAAACGTTCATTTCATAGACCCTATAGATGCTGCCACATCCACAGTTTGGAGTATTGTGTGCTGATTTTATAGGAGTTATGCAAGCGTTAATGACTTGCATCATTCAAACCATAATAAAACAAAAGAAAATGCAATATTAATTCTTTGACAGCAAACACACATCCCACACACACTTTGTGGAGCCACATATATGAAAGTGCACATTTTTAATTTATGTACCCAGTTATTCCCTTTTTTCATTGTGCTTACGGGTTTTAATAGGAACTAGGCTCACATATTATTATGCACAAATATTCTTTTGAAACTTTCATTGAGCAGCTTTGTTTATTGGAAGCCTTTCAGTCAGGGGACTCTTGAGGCTGGCGAGAAGACACTCACATGACCATTTTGTAGTGCAATGGTGCCGCTAGCCAAGAATGGGATTATAAACAGTGCAATAGAAGAAGTACACTTTGGAAAAGAGAGCAAAGGTGAAATGAATAGACAGTTCTACAGTAAAATTTATTGAGATGGCTTTACATAAGCCTTGTGAGTGGTAAACTGGAGATGCAATGAAAGGAGCAAGTCAAGTCATAACGTCTAACTATGTGCACGACGGGTTGTCATATTGAAGGTCAAATTTACTCATCGCATTTCCCAAGAAGTAAGCAAGCCAAACCTACTGTCAAAAGTACACCCTTTTACAAAATTCATTCCTAGACTAATTTCATTAAGTGCTTAGTACTAGCAGATATGCTTTTATTAATCATTTACATACAAAGTAATTACTTTCAAAGATATTACAACAGGATCTTGTTGAGAAAAGCGTCCCAAATTCAACTCCTTGTTGATTTGAACTCATGACCTATCCGGTGATGATTTACGTGTAAGAAGTGGTCAACTTGTACGACTCCCACTTGTCCTGTGATATGAGTTTCCTGATATCACTCCTGAGAAACTGAGGCACAGAAAGCCTCTGAAACTAAAGCAAATACAAATCTTTAGGGGGAAACAAAAAAGGGAGGGACTTTCCTAAAGAAACACACCCTATGTCTAAATACCGCTTCAAGCATTCAACTTTGTTACATGATAACAAGATACGCACACTATCGTCGGGTAACATTAAAATGTAAAGCAGTACATTTACTAAGCTCAACAACACAGCCCCGTTGAAGAGAAATAGCATAGGATGAACCTGGAGATCTAAGAGGTGTTCTGCTGAGAAAAGGCCCAGTGGTGTAGAGGCCCGTCATTGGGTCAATAGAGTGGGGAAGTATTAAGGACGTCATGCCTCTCCGTAGGAATGATTGTGCAGCCAAACCGGCGGCGGCCATGGTTGGCAGTCGTAGCGCGAGCATCCGTGTTGGTGGCATGTGTCCAAAACTTCACATAACGCTAACTTGCTCGCCTGCTTCTCCCTCTCAATTTAGAACTTTTTTTTGCTCATTCGCAGCATTTGATTATTTGCAGCATTCCCTTTACCTGCGGTAAACAGGTCTCTTTCAATTCCATTTTTATGGATTTTCAGTTCATTTCAATTTGAAATGGATGGGAAGAATAAGTATCAAACAAAAAATTCGAATTGGTCAATTTGAATCAGTTCAATGTCAATTTGTTATTTTTAATTATATAATAATATTTTATTGAATTTTCCGGTTTGGTTTGATTTTTGTTCAGTTCAGAAAGAAAAATAACCAAACTCAAATCAAATTGCATATGGTTCGATTTCAGTTCAATTTATTTTAGTTTGATAGAGTTGGATTCACTTGAACATAACCAATAAGTCCATCGATACCCTTACCAAAGAAGGTGATGTCCAAATTGTAGTGTGATATCCACAAATTTTTCTCCAAATCTCGTGTTTGAAATTCGCTCGACCAGGTTGGGGCGCTCCCCCTCTCTCTTGATCCCCTATGTGTGCCCCCTAATGTTCGGCCTCTTTCTTGGCCTTGCCTGGTCTTAGAAGGGCACCTGGTCTTGATTCTTATGTGTTGGGAGGTAAGGCAAAGAATGGTCTTAATGGTGTTGGGTCGGTCTAGTGTTTGTTGGCTCAATGTCCCAATACAAGTCTTACACTTCTAATCTCTTATTTGTTATCATTTGAAAACACTTTTTAAGTCAAAACTTGAAGAAAAAAAACTCTTTTTTTAAGGTTCAGCAAACATTCCCTTATCTTGGTTGTTAGGGAGGTGGCGGTGCATTGTATTATATTCCCACATTGTTTATCTAGAGGAGAACAAAACCATTAATAGTTGACGGGTTATAAATAATGTGCAACCTGACCATGGGGCGATGTGAGTGGGTCGTGCTTGTTTGTATGAATGGGCCTAGTCTAGGAAAGTTCTCGGGCCCAACAGCTGAAGAGACACAGGCCCTGAAACGGGTGCTTCATCTAGATAGGAGTCTTATTCCATTAACTTGGGATGTAGCATTTTATACTATGATCTCGTGTTGTGTTGGCTAATTAACAGAACGGGGCTTACGATCCTGCGGTCCAATTTTTTGAAACTTGTGTTCAATTTTTAAACTTAAGTGATCAAAACACTATTTTGTAGTAACTATTAATCATCTTTGTGTAAATAAGTTTTATTTTAGTATATTTTTTTGGGGAAACACTAGTGGAAAAACCCTGATTCACGGCGGTTTTTAAGCATCATGCGCGGCGGTTTTGACCGCCACAGTTGAACCTGACGCAAATTTTGAACGCGCGGCGGTTTTTACATTAAAAAACCGCCGCAAATAAAAAAATTAAAAAAAAATAAAAAAAATTAATTTGCGGCGGTTATTAACTAAGAACCGCCGCATATAAACTCTCCGACCTGTATTTTCTGTCAAAAAATGCGTGGCGGTTCTGAGTTAATAACCGCCGCATATGTATTGTTTTTATTTTAAAAATTAATTGTTTTGCGGCGTTTCTAGTGTAATAACCGCAACATTTTTCCATTTTTTTAAAAAATTCTTAAATATGTTAAAAATTGAATTTATTTTAAACAATACCACAACTAAAAGATCAATAACACATCACCTCTTTAAAATCATACATCAATACAAACTTCTTTAAAACGTAACATACTCCTTTCAAATTCCACAACGATTCAACTACAAAATCAAATCAGTACAACAAAGTCATAATTACGAAATGTTCCATGGAAGAAATACAAAATCAGTGGGGTAACAGCATGCCCTTCACCTTATCATGACATATATGTACATAAATCATAATTCCATATATGTATATAAATCATAATTCCATATACCTTATGCAAAATCAGTGGGGTAACAGCATGCCCTTCACCTTATGCACAGCCACATAAGTTTTAATCTATGACTATAAAAGCAACTATCATCCAAATTATGGTACCAGTAACCCATAATTGGAAAAGCATGTATAATTGGAAAAGCACAGAGCACAAGAATTAACACTAAATAGATAGCAAGGTATTAATAGCAAGAGGATTTAACAGTAACCAATATACTTTGCTCTAAAGTGCTAAGTCATGAGTAACAAAAACTTACCAAAGACGATTTCTACCTTCTGCCAAAAGGTTTGAGAAGAAATGCCTTCTATATCAAGCTGAAATGTTTAGGGCAAATTATGAAATTTTACAAAACACACTTTGTGTGTCAAATGCTCTGATTTAGTAGTAAATATGCAGGTTACACATATCATAGTATTACCACAGCCACAAGATTGATGATGAGAATGAACACTATAATGTACCCAAACATAGGGCTTTGGACAAAGTCACACAACTTCACAGATGTTGTTGAATGGTAGACATTTGGAAATGTTTCAAATATTGGCAACATGAATGATGAAGGTAAAAACTACTTTATCAGCATAAAAATTCTTCCAATAGCATAACCGTAACACCACTTAAAGAAGAAAGTCTGACTCACTGAATCCTCCTTCTGAAATCTAAGAGATATTGATTTACAAAGATAAAAAAAAATCATCCAAATATTGATTTACAGAGAGAAGGGATTAAGTGTAACATTCAAACCAGGCGCCCGTCAGAAGCCGTCCGCCAGCAGCCGTCCGCAAATCGCCGCGCTGAATCCGCTCGCCAGGCTTCCGCCGCAACTCCACAAGTCTCCTTCCACCTCGCTCAAGCCAACTGACGTTTGATTTCGCCGGTAGACTGTAGCTCTCTGTAGCAGTCCGCCGTCGTTGGATGGGTATCGCTTAGGGTTTAATTTTGGCCTGGCACCCGTTCGTTCTTCGCTTATCATTTCTATTTTACAAAATAAATGGATATGCGGCGGTTCTAAGTTATAACCGACGCGCGTGAGCTAATTTTTTTTAAATATTTGCGGCGGTTGTAAGACAAAACCGCCGCGCATGTTAAATTTTTCCGGACTTTTTTATTTACGTATTTATTTGCGTCGGTTATTAGATAGAATCGCCGCATATTTTATAAAAAATAAAATTAAATTAAAATAATAGCGGCGTTTTTTTGTTAACAACTGCCGCGTATGTATTGGTTTTTTTTTCCGAAAATTGTGGCGCTTTCTTCAAAACCGCCGCATATGCTGCGCCGCAAAATGGTGTTTTTCCACTAGTGAAACTTATATACTTTGACAATTTATATATTTATATACTTATATTCTAGTCAATTTAAGATGCTAACATTTTAAAAGGAGTATATATACTTGGCAATATAACTTGGCAATATTGTTTAAAGGTGCAGTTTTACTTTATTATCGAAAGGATTGGAAGTTAAAAGGTTTCGTTCATGTGTTTGGAAGTTTATTGGAAAGCTAATGATTGAGTCATCTTTACATCAACAATGAGCCATTGTACTCGCTATTCAGGTTGGAATATGAAATATAGTGAAGTTCTCATTTGTACAAGTATATGCTAGCTCATGAGTTGGTAATTGCTTCCAAAAGAAAAAGCCCCAATTGCATCAGAGTATCTTTGAAAAGCATCAACGAATTAGGTAATTTAGTATTAGGCTAAAGGCTGAAATAGGTACATGAACTAACTTAAAGTAGTCAATTAGCCCCTTATATAGGAGGTTCTACATGGCCGTCGCCAACTGGGACGGTTCCCAGTGGAATTGTTTGATAAAATTTTTTGAGCATCTTCTTCATTAAGTCTAGTTTACCCATATCAAATTTCAGCTACAAATTCAACCGGGAAGGCATTCAAATGAGTTTTTGAAGATAACTGCGCAGTTAAACAGCACAGTACATTTCGGAAAATCATTTGACTTCCTTCCCGATTTTATTTTTAGCTGAAATTTGATATGGGTAAACTACACTTAATGAAAAAGATGCTCAAAATATTTTATCAAAAAATTCAACCGGGAACCGCCCCAATTGGCGACGGCCGGGCAGAACCTCCTATATAAGGGGCTAATTGACTACTTTAAGTTAGTTCATGTACCTATTTGACCCTTTAGCCTAATACTAAATTACCTAATTCGTTCTATTTAGGGTTTCGGGGTTCCGGCTTCCGGCTTTCGGATTTAGGGTTTAGGGTGTATGGTGTGGGGTGTAGGGTGTGGGGTTTGGGGTTTGGATTTGAATTTGGATTTGGGGTTTAGGGTTTGGAGTTTAAGATTTAGGGTTTAGAGTTTCGAAACATCATTGAAAAAAGATTACAAATGGTCAAAAAACATTAGTCAAATATGAAAATGAACAAAGTGAAAGACGTGAATAAAATGTGGACTTGACATAAAGCTCATACGAATTAATTCTAATAAGAATCTCTGGATAATTGAGTTAGGGTTTCAGCCTTATTCTTGTCGACGAATTAAAAGCTTGAGTCATGTTTTTGTCTGTTTCAATGTAAATCCTCCTCTTAAGCTAAAGCATTTTCACTGCTTTGGCAAATTAATTTGCCAAATTAATTCCAGCCATCACTTTTGTCACGCGGCCTCATGTAATCAATATTAGGGAGTTTTTGCAATTGCTCCTACTTCAAAAAATTGATTTTTTAAAGTGATTTTGGAGAAAATGCTTAATAGTAAAAATTGGTAATGTTTGAGAAAAAAGTGATTATGGAAAAGTAGAAGCTGTAGTATTTGGTAAAATAAGTGTTTTTTATGTAATAGAAAACTTTGAAAAACAGTTTAAACTTTAAAGCATCATTCACCTCCTTCGAGCTTTTAATTTTTAAGTGCGTAAATTAAACAGAAGCTGTTATTTGAAAGCACTTTTTTCAGTTTTTTTAAGCAAAAAGCTGAAAAGCACCTTTTTAAAATTTTAGCAAACACTCATGTGGCGATGTGAGTGGGTTGTGCTTGTTCGTATGAATGGGCCTAGTCTAGGAAAGTCCTCGAGCCCTACTGCTATAGAGACACAGGCCCCCAAACAGGTGCTTCATCTAGATAGGAGTCTTATCCGATTAACTTGGAATGTATTTGAGACGTCTTTGGAGCATTTTAGGCTATGTTTGCCACACCATTTCAGCCCATAATCGGTTTAAATTTTCCAATATCTGCTAATTGTAATATCATTAAACTTGTTTGGGAGAAAGGCTGATTTGAGCTTGAGCCGAAATTATTTAACTGAAATCAAACGTTAACATCGGTGACGTTTCGTTCGGGAGCGTATACCATACAACCGGCTGTACGGCTGGCACCGTACAGCCGGTGGCAGTTTTGTAATTTTCATGAAGTTCGTGGTTTCTCGTAAATGAGCATTGATGTAATTTTGATGAGCATCGAGCCTGTTCTTCTGAGTATTAAAAGCCTAACAATGAGCACCAGTGATCTCTGCTTCATATTTTCTAATTCGGTTTCTTTTTATGATTTTTTCATTTATAAAAATTAAAAATCTTAAATTATGTTTATAATTAATTTCAATATGTGAATCTAATGTAGTATGATATGTTTGATATGTGCATCATTTTAAAATGAGCATAAAACAGTACCAAATGAGCATACATAATTTATAAAATGAGTATTAAAAAAATTCAAAACTTTATTTGTGTATGTTCATTGATTTTGGGCGTATATTTGATATGTGCATCATTTTAAAATGAGCATAAAACAATACCAAATGAGCATACATAATTTACAAAATGTGTATCAAAATATTAAAAACTCATTTTTGTGTGTTCATTCATTTTGGGCATAATACTCATTTGAATTTAACTTAAAACTCATTTTGAAATATGCATGAATATGACATTTTAAAAAGAGTATTGTACTAATATCAAATGAGTATTGATAGAGTATATGGGCCTGGACCCCATGGCCCCACATACTCAAGTCAACGACGACCAGAAAAACACCCACGTGGCCCCCATCGGCCAGCAGGCCCGCATCGGCCAGAAACCAAACCGGCCCAGAAAGCGCGCATGAACTCCCGGGACCGCATCGGCCCATGGACCGCATCGGCCATGGGGCCGCATCGGCCAAAGACACCGCATCGGCCAGACTTCGGCCGGGCAGAAAGCATCTCTCTACTTTATTTTACTAAGTATTGTACACAGCCCATTAGTGGCCCTATTTCGCCCAAAGAAGGCATGGTTATTGTAATGGACCTCCTAAGCCCATGGCTAGGAGCCCAAATCCACATTTTTTCCTATAAATAGACCCCTTGGGGCTAGTTATAGGGGGTTGAGAAATATAATTACTCACTTTCTCTCTCTAGCTCTCACTTCTCTCTAGAATTAATACGCTATCATTTGGTGCTTTCATTGAGAGTTAGAACAGATCAAGTGAGTACCCCTCGTCGCTACTAGACGCAACAGAATGACAAGAACCAGGTCAAAGAACACCGGAAGGAATGCCCCTCTGAACCAGGAAGGGCAGGGAAACGTTGCTGACAACGTCCCCAATGACCTCATCATTCAGGACGAGAACGCTCAGGAGGTCGAGCTCGCAGCGGCCGACCTTCGCACCCAGCTCAACAAGACTGCCCCAGACGCCCGCATCGGGCTCGAGGACAAGCGCAATGCTGATCGCGCTTCGGGCCAGCAGGCTTCTCACCCTGCTGCCCCCCCAGATCAACCCGGCCGCACTATCGGCCATCGTCGCAAGTATTCTCCAGGACCCCAACGTCGTCAGCGCCCTCGTCGCAAAGACAGGGGAGAACAACACTCCCGTGACTGGGGGAGTCGCGACGGTGCCACCACCCCCCGCCTCGGCCACAAGGCGTCACCTTCTTCGGCAACAACGAAGATGTCCTCGCCGTGGACACCCATTCCCATACTGCCTCGCCTACCCGGGATACACCGGCCCAACCTCGCGGTAAAATCTCAGCATTCAACAGGCTGGGTGACATCGCGAGTCGCCGGGTACCTACGGGAAGGGTGGCGGATCGGTTGGGTGCCCGCGAGCCGGGATCGCCGAAGGAAAGCTTCGGGTCCGTGTCCCGGACAACAGACCGGCCCCGGCCAGACAAAGGAAAAGGAAAGCTGGTTGATGACGATGCGCGCCACCAAATCAACCTCGCGCACGCGGCCCGGATCCAGACCCCTCTGGGCGGCGCCACGGCCAACACAGACCCAAGGGATGAGATCATCGCCCGCTTGGAGAAGCGCCTCGCTGACATGGAGGCCCGAGAGGCCGCAGGGCGCGCATCGGCTCACACATCCCAGCATCCCAACTACGACGCGCTCCTGAGCAAGGTCAGTGCTCTGGAAAGGGAGTTGGCTGACCGGCGCGATGAGCCCGTCATCCAGATACGGACCAGAACCCCCTTCTCTGCGAGGGTGCTCTCCGCTCCCATCCCGGAGAAGTATAAGGGGAACCCGATCAAGCCGTATGACGGCCGCACTGATCCTCAGGAGCATTTCACCCGCTATCAGAACAACATGATGATGACCAACGCTTCGGAGGAATACATGTGCCGCTGGTTCCTTTCCACCTTGGAGGGACCAGCGTACGATTGGTTCAACAACCTTCCGGAGGGGAGCATCGACTCATGGCAGGACCTTGCTCAACGCTTCCTCACTCACTTTGCCGGGAGGAAACGTGCGAAGAAGCATTTCGCTCATCTCCTGACCATCAAACAACAGCCGGAGGAGACGCTCCGAGCCTTCCTCGATCGCTGGACGAGGGAGGCGGACGAATGCGAAGGAGCCGATGAACGCACCCTCCTGGCCTTCCTCCGCGGAGCACTCCGGCCGAGCCACTTCGCCCGGAGCCTGTTCACGGAGCCGCCGCGGTCATACCTCGCGGCGCTCCGACGCGGGGACAGGCACGCTGACGAGCTCCTGAGCCAGAAGAAGGGTGGGGAGAAGCAACAAAAGAAGGACTCCTCGTCCACCCCCC